TCCCTCTAATTCAAAATAAACGATGATAGATTACTCTCTGGTTAATGATTTTAAATATCTTTTTATGGGTGTCACACTTTAACAATTCATTTATATTATATTATTGATGTTACCTTATGATGCAGATATATAGCTCTGAGGCTCCCCAGTACAAGCTAAAGATTCATCATATCCATAGAGTTTGCAATCCTCTCCGGCTGTGCAACAATTAACGCAAAATTGATAAAGTTTGGCTAATCCAGAAGATGGACAAGTCATGTAAACAATTTTAGGGTCACATTTCAGGGTACATGCCTTGGGTTCAATACTCTCTCCTTCACAAACAAACTTGCCATTTTTACCGAAACAGTAGCAATCCTTATACCCCGTACAACAGGTGGGATAAATTATCGTCTGTCCTTTTGAACGGAAACACTTTGAAATATTTGTTATCTAGCAATAATTTTATTCTCCATGTGATAAGTGGGAGCAATTGCATATATTTCGGCTTTAGGAGAAATAATAATTTTAGTCCATGAACTATAGATTTGACCTCTATAGACTGTATATATGATTCGACTAAACATAATTCATATTTGATTAATATAAACATGTGATTTTAATTTTTCACCCTAACACAAGTTAAAAAATTAATGAAATTGTTAATTTTAAAATATAGAAATTTTTTTAAAGAAATATTCAAAAATTATTATTAATTTGTTAAAAGAAAGGCTAGACTCTATAGACAAACACGATGTTGAAGTCATCATTATCGCCCACTCATACCATTCAATTCAAATATAATCAAATTGGATCAAAATTTATCGTCTCCCCCTCTTCATGGCTTTTCTCTTTCATATATCATATTTTAACTTTCAATTAATTATGTATAGCTATAAGATTGAATTATTCAACCAGATTCTTGTTATAGAACATTAACCCGAGATTTCTTAGCGCATTTACCCTTAAATTGTTATTTTTTTTTTCTTTATTTATTTTTAATTAATGATTTCATTAGTTTAGGATGAAATTACCCGTTTACATAAATTAAAGATTAATTATGCTTAATCAAAATATACATGAATCAAAACTGAAACAAACCAATAATACAAAGACCAAACTGGTTATTTGCCCATCACTTTAATTTTTGTAATTAAAGTGGATAGAATTACTTTTACAAATAGATATTTATGAATTAAACAGATGGCCCAATGCAAGCGAAAATTGGATAACCCTGTATGAAGAGTGATACAGCGTACAAAAATAAAATAATATATCTTTCATATGGAATTATTGTATTGTATCTAGTTGAAGGACAATAATGGAGAGTCCGGCATAAAAAATGGACACGTTTGGAACTCTGAATATCAAAAGGGACCCTCTCTAAAAGTACACACTAAAACAGATAAGTCGCCCATTTATGGACGAACTACAATTATCATTTTTAACATCGTAGCCCCCGTTAACTCCAAATTTATCCAAACCAATATTACACAAATCTTTTTGTTAACTCCTAACATAAATCTATATCTCTTTCTCGATTCATAGAAGATTAGATTTTTCATAGTCATTTTTTAAAAGTAAACCTTTAACTACGGTTAAGACACTTTTAAGTTAAATTTAATTTGAACCCTTACATTAATTTTTAAAATAGATAAATATCAATCATCCTGATATGCATTTGAAAAAATGAATGAGAAAGATGATTCAATTAAGGCCACATTTTAATCATGACTAAAATAATATACAGTATAATTTCATATATATTTGCTTTAAAAAAAATTGACAATCCATTCGTTTCTAGCAATAAATTTCTTCAACCACAAATTTATTAAAGATAACTACGGCATAGAAACAAAAATCTATGAAGAATTTTATGTTAGCGGAAGGATCCAAATTTGTTTACTTCTATATGAAATTAAAAAAACTTCATTGAACATCAAAATAATAATAATAATCATAAACTGATCAATATTTATATTCCTAGCTTCTTGAATTAAATTGTTTGCATATTCAACGATGTAAAAATTATTTCTCTATCTATTTTCCTTATATCATGCATGGTTTCACATCTATCAAAGGATAAAAGCAATCTATGTAAATTATCTCACTTTATTAAGTTTTCTATCTGAATTATTGAGAACGTAGATTTCTTTTTGCACTATCCCCCAATAATTAGCAAAACACACCTAGACTAGATTTGTTTTGCTAACCCAATTGATATTAATTATATATGATTAATATTTATATGTATATGGATTTGGCTAATAAAATGCATCTGGTTCATCAAAGAATTATAAAGACATTTAACATTCATTTAGGATAAGAAATATGGATGATCTCTTTCTCTTATTCAGATAATTAGTAATTACACATAACACACAACTTTGATGCCCACATTATAGTGATTAGCATGTCACTATGTGTGCATCCTTTTATTTCATACATTAATTAAGTTGGCCAATCCAGAAGATGGACAAGTCTAGGGTCACATTGCAGGGTACATATTTGCCTTGGGCTCATCACTCTCTCCTTCACATACAAACTTGCCATTTTTACCAAAATAGTAGCAACCCTTGTACCCTGTGCAGCATGTGGTACATTCGGTGGGATAAATTAGCGATTTTCCTTCTGAACGGAGACATTTTGAATAGGCAATATTTGTATCACAATTTCGGGGGCAAACATTTGGGTTTTTTGGGTCAGATTCTCCTTCGCAAATGAAAGCCCCATTTGCACTATAATAATTGCAACCTTTATAACCTGCACAACAGTTGGTGCATATGCGATTTTCCGGACTTCCTTCTGAACGTGGGCATATCCCAAACCCAAGATTACCACATTCTAAAGTGCAAGCCTTCGCATCAACATGCTCCATCGCGCTTACAAGTACCAATAATCCTACAAACAAATATAATATAAAGGAAAAATATAAAACTACTTGTGTATATATATATATATATATATATATGTATAAAGCAAGAATTTTTTATTTTTTATTTTATTTTTTTTAAAAAAAGGAGTAAAGGAAAATCTTACCAAGAACAATTAGTAGGTAAGCAACGAAATTAACTTCCTTGTGAACATCCATGATGGATAATTAATTAGTACTGCCTCTTTTTCTTTTAATTTTGGGGTGAAGAGTGTCTGTCCTCCTCCACCTATTTATAGCAAACGAGTGATCAAAAAGATAGCAAACTAAAACCTTTTTTTTCTTCATATTAATATAAATTATTTTTATTAATATTTGATAAAAAAAAAAAGATGTGCTTGTTAGTTAATTATTTTGGCAAGGTACTTACGCTTGCTTCTTCTTTATTACTCTCTTTATCCGATCTTTACTTGTTTACTATACTAAAAGTAGATGTCCGATAATACTTGTCTAATTTGAAAGATCAATGAGTAATTTTACTTGTTTGTGTCTATTTTATTCTTGCTGCTATTAGATATTATTCATTATCAAATATATTTTTCAAAGCATTAAATTTAATATATTCAAAAGGTAATATAGTAATATCATTCTTATTATTTATTGTTTCTCAATACGAGTCTCAAATATATATAGTGGACGGTTATAATTGGACGGAGGAGCCGAAAGCTCTTAACTTTTCCTGGTTGCTATCTTTAATTTCTCCTATTCAGCAAGCTGTACTGACCCCGACTTGCTTGTTTTTTTAAATAATTATCATCCAGCATCGGTTTCTTATAAGTCCACGTGATAATTAAGTTGGAACTCTATTATTGCACACGGGAAGAGGATAAAAATATTCATGAATTATCTGAAAAAACTTAAATATATCCCGCATTCATTTCTTTGGTTAAAAATACCCTTTAATTCACCTTTTAAACCCATTTCTGCTTCTAACACATTATACAAACAAATCCAAGAATTGTAATGAATGTTTTTTTCTGAATTGGAAGATTTAGTTTTGGGTGGTGGTAGAAATTTGGATAAATTTTATCATCCTAACTAGAAATTTTCATTTTGCTGGAAAAAAAAATTAATGATCAAGTTCTTTGAATTGGGTCGAGAAAGATTTGATAGGTCGAAAATTATTTTTTTTATCCAATAGGAAGATGTCACCTAATTAAAAAATTAGAATAACAATAATTTTAAAAAGGATTGTTAGATTGAGGGATATTTTTAACCAAATAAATGAATGAGGGGCATATTTAAATCTTTTCAATTAGTCTAGGGGTATTTTTAGCCCTTTTTCCTTTTTCATATATAGCTTTAGGGGTCGTTTGGTTTGAAAACAAGTTATGATGGGATAAGTTATGATGGGATAAGTTATGCTGGGATAAGTTATGTTAGGATTAGTTTTTATTGCTTGTTTGGTTTGTTGTATTATAACTAATAAGCATTGGATACTTTCTAAGAATTAGTTACTCCCTCTGTCCCAATTTATATGACACATTTCAGATTTCGAGATTCAAATAAGTTTATCTTTGACCGTAATTTTTTCATATATCTTTTTAATATTTTCTATTATCAATTATTGAGACTTATATTTAATGTAGTTTACAAATATATAAATTTCATTTTTAAAAAATTGAAGATTCCATGAGCAAATTCTCCGTCAAACTTAAACTATTTGACTCTCGAAAAATGAAATGTGTCACATAAATTGGGACAGAGGGAGTATTTGTTTATGAAAATACCCTCTATCTTATTTAGCTTTTTATATATAGTTTTTTATAAATCTTTTAGTTACTCACTCTTAAAAATAAAATCAAATGAATCTCAATTATTGATAAGTTTACTATCCACATGAATCAAAACTGGAGCAAGCTATTGAGGCTAGTGGGGAGCATCCTTTCTTTACCGTTATAAGCAAAAAAATTAGACAAATATAAATGAATCAAAAGTGGAGCAAAAACTGCACAATAACAATAACCATAATTGAATTGAAAATTGGTAAATTTGATAACATTTCTCGTTGCAAAAATAACTTTTTAACCAATTGCAAAAGAAACAAAGTTCAAAAAGGACTCAAACAGTTGAATAATTTTATCAAACTAAAATTATAGATTTATTTGAAATTTATCAAAACAACATCTCATGAGCAGCAAAAATAATTCAACAACTTTACAAATGTGGAATAAATATATGAAAAGTGATAATCAAATAAATTTCAAGGATATTCTTGTCATTTTGATTGTTTTATTCTAGGATAAGTTATCTTGGTATTGTTATTCCACCAAGAGGAAGGGATAACTTATCCCAGTACTATTTATTAATCCTGGGATAAGTTATCCCATACTTTGTAACCAAACAAGAAACAAAGAGGCACTAAAAAGTTATCCCATGACTATTTTCTCTTATCCATTACACCAAATAACCCCTTAGGGTATAACAATTTTAGTTCCTCTGTTTCAGAATATATTTTAGTTTTGGTCATGTATATATAATTCGATTAATCATAATTAATCTATGATTAATATAAATGTACAATTTTGATCGAAAACGTTAATTTGAAAATATAGAAAAATTTTATAAAAAATCAAAAGTAAAGATTAATTTAGTAAAAAGACTAGTCTCAATTAACAAACACGATTCCCTATGTTTTATGGCTTTTCTTGTTCATACTAGATACGCCCCGTGCCACGGGGCCCAATATATATTATTTTTTTATTTTAATTTATGTGATACGATTGAAACTTGAGAAACTATTTAAATTTTTATACGATTTTTAATAATATTTTAAGTTATTAATTATTATGATTTAGAATTATTTTTTTTACATAATTTTAAAATAATATATATCATTTCGTTGTCCCAATTTATGCGGGGCACGTCTAGAATTTCTAAAATTAATCATTTTTATGTATTTTAAATATTTCAAGTTGTTAGTTACTGTAATTTGTGAAATATTTTACGTAATCTTTGAATAATATATGTTACTTTTATGTGACGTTGATATATTTTAGAGAGCCAACCAAATTTTTTATGTCTTTTGAAATTCTTAAGTTGTTACTTATTTTAATTTATAGTACTTATAGAATTTTGAAAGTCAATTAATTTTTTATATGACTTTTAAATATTTTAACCTATTAATTATTGTGGTTTAAAGTATTATTATCATAATTTTCAAATATATAAGAATAAACTATCAAATTATCCTTGTATGCATACATGAGCTCGTGCCGACAATTATATGTCTCAATTTATATGACACAAATGAAATTTGAAGAGTCAGACAAGTATTGTATATATTTTTTCTAAAAATAATTGAATTGTTAATTATTATGGCTTACAATATTTTTACGTCATTTTAAAATAATATTTGTTTTTTCTTCTATCCTAATTTATGTGGCACATATAGAATTCAGAGAGTCAATCAATTTTAATATGATTTTTTAATATTTTAATTCGTTAATAATTATAATTTATAGTACTTTGTACATAATTTTTAAATAATATGTGTATAATTTTGAGTGTCGATCAGATTTTTTATATTATTTTTAAATATTAGTAATGAACAATATTTAAAGCATATTTATTATCAATTAAATTTTAGTATTAGTAATGAAATGTGAAATATTCTGAATTTTATTATTTAATTATATTCTAAATGAAAATAATATTTTTTCTTCAAACACAACAACAAAGAAAGCCCAAAATAAGTACTCCCTTTGTCCCTAATTACTTGTCTACTTTTGAGTTGACATACCTATTAAGAAAATAATAATTGATTTAGTGAGTTTACCATCCCCTATTAATTATGAAGTGGATGGATTAAAAACTAGTTCTACTATTTTCAAAGTAATTAATTGAGGGTATAATGGGTAAAATTTTTTTGTCCTTTCTTGATTTGTCAAAATGGACAAGTAATTAGGGACAACTAAAAAAGGAAATGTAGACAAGTAATTAGAGACATAGGGAGTATTTCCCATGTCTCAATTTATGTTGCATTTTTCGTTTTTCGAGAGTTAAACAACTTAACTTTGATCGGCAATTTGCGCATGGAATCTTCAAATTTTTTGAAATTAAATTTATATATTTGTAAACTAAGTAAAAAGTATCATAAATCACAATAATTGACAATTCAAGATATTTAAAAGATATACAAAAAATTAACGATCAAAGATAAACTTATTTGAATCTTAAAATTTGAAAAATGTCACATAAATTGAGATGGATGAAATATAATATCACTAAACATTACATCTTATGGGATGTGGGTAAGGCTGACAATTGGACAGGACCGGTTTTACCAGAATCGATACCGAAACCGGGTCTTACCAGAACACCAGAAATTCCCAAAAGTTCCGCCCGGTCCATTCGTTACCGGATAGGAACCGATTTGGATCGGACCGGAACCGGTTCTTACCGGATCATTGTGTACCGGTAATTTTATTTTTTTATTAACTTTAATTATTATATAATATTATATTATTAATTAATAAAATTATATTATTAAAAAACTTCAATTTAAAACTTTAAACTTTAAAGTTACTTTAAAGTTTCAATTGAATTTAAGTTTAAAGTTTAAAATTGACTTTAAATTTTAAAGTTTATATTGAATTTAAAATTGACTTTAAAGTTTAAAGTTTAAAGTTTATATTGAATTTAAAGTTTAAACCTTAAAATTCAATTTTATATTAAAGTTTAAACTAATATTAAAATAGTTGAAAATTAAATTTGTAAAATTACTTGAATTAAATATAAGAGACTATTTTAAAAGAAAATCAAGGCGAATAACCGTATATTTATTCAAATAAGTAAATTGTACAATACAAATATTAGAAAGAGACAAAGAGTACATAATCTAGGTATTGAATATTAATTATTGTACTAACTACTAACAATTGAAACTTTTTTTAAAATCTTTTCGTAACTTTTGTATCATTTCAAAAGAAACATTTTTTGGAACTTGTATTTGTCGTTCTTCTTCCATTGCTTCCATGCCATCATCATTATTATCACCAAATATTCATCTATTTCGTCTTCTATTTGGCTATTTAATTATGGTAGACGGGTATTTCTTCTTTCGGCATTGACCCAATCTCGAAACAACAACGATATTTCCAAACTATCCTTTGCTAATGAATATCGATGCTTTCCAATCATAAATCTTGCCGCACTAAAGGCTTGCTCCGAAGTGACCGATGATGCTTGAATCGCCAGCACATCTCGAACAAACCTAGCAGGGGTCGTAAATTGATTTTCATGATTCT